TAATGATTCGTAAACATCTTGTTTCAAAATGTAACAATTGAATTTATTAAGTATTTGATATATACGCATGAATACTGAGTGAAACGTTTAGACAGAGTTGTGTCTCTTAGACTAGGTAATATTTGTACCTAAGTTCAAAAAGTGAAAGTAATTATTAAACTGTAGTCTAGGAAGAATAAAGTTTCTTTAGCATGTTTGGAATTGTGTATTGTACAAGTTGGTAAAAGTTCAGAAAAGATTTCAGAGTTCGTACTTGAGTGAATGTTGATAATGGTCTTTAACGTCTGACTGATTTAGTTAAGACGGGAGTTCTTGAAGATTACATCTTGGCAGCAAGGAATGAGACGCGAGAGAGAGAGAGAGAGTTTAGACATGTTTTGTTTTTATAAGCTCGTGTATCACGTGGGAGGCTACGAGAATATTGAGCGGGAAAACAGATTTGTCGCATGCAGGCGGTTTGATTGGTCGGAACTGACCAATCAGCGAGCTAGATTGAAGGTGATTAACCAATGAATGCTTGTTATATACTTTGTAAGATTGTGATGGTGAAAATTACAACAGGAATAGTGCATTTCCTAGCAGGGATTAACTGGCTTGTTGTGGAAAATTCCACACGTGTATCACGTTTGGCACTTGAATGACTATAAAATTCGTAACTTTCTTATTTTGTATATTTGGGTTCAACAAATATTTATTTTTATGCCAAAGTCGTCAACAAACGTCTAAAAACGTCTGAAAGTATTTGGGCCTTGGTTAGTGTGTGCGTCTTGGAAACAGCTGAGCTCCCCACCCACTAAAGATGACCCTGTAAAATTTCTGGAGTGATGTAACAAATATAAGACACTTGAAAAAATTGAATATAGAAAATTAATGAGAATAAAGAATGATTATTATGTGAAGTCGATCCTGACACAAATATCTCGGACCGAGCTGATCGTAATCCGTCCTGCTTGTCGCTCAAGAAAAAGATGCTGGAAAAATGGTTGTTTCCCTGTAAGTACCTGACTCCTCATGCTATCCTCTAACTTTACAAGAACCAGATCAGGCCGAAAATGGAGCACTGCTACCATATATGGGCAGGAGTCTTGATATAGTTCAAAGGAATCCCTGCGTCTTCGTGGGCGATGAATTACTTTCTACCCTAAAACCACTTTCCCCACAGACGAAACGTCTCAAGCCTTTTGCTACCCTGTTGCTATTTCCACGGAAAGTGTTCAGACGAACTGCATTCCTTCGTTCCAGTAGTTTTAATCTTTACGACTAAATCCCGCCACGCCAAACACATTGTGCCGGACCAACCCAATTTCCTTCGTATTTCTTTCCCACTGCCTTGTGGAACCAACTCCCAAGAGGATACTTCCCCGATCACTATAATCTGTTCAAGTCTAGAGTAAACCGATATCTTCCCCATATATCGCCATAAACTATGCCTTTTATACTCTACTTCGAGTTTCTCTTTGATCTTGTACAGGGTGAATATTATTGTAAAGAAAATATGTTAAGTCGTATATTTATGTTTCTCTGAAACAAAATGGCTGATTTGCCATACTGCAATGTTGCTTTTTCTGTTCGCATCGAAATGTTGGCACTAGTGTTTCGGTTTTATTTTTGACGGTAACGGGGGGGGGAGGCGGAAACTTAGAGAGGGCTTCAAAAGCGGCTGCTGCCAGCATTCTTTTAAACTCATTATCTAAAAATGAATTCAAAAAGACGATCTGAGAAGTGAAGCTATAGAGAGAGAGAGAGAGAGAGAAAGAGAGAGAGAGACAGTGAGTGAAAGAGAGAGAGAGGTATAAATAAATATATATATTTATATATATATATAGAGAGAGAGAGAGCGAGAAAGAGTGAAAGGGAGAGAAGTATATATATATATATATATAGAGAGAGAGAGAGAAAGAGAAAGGGAGAGGTATACATACATATATATATATATATATATATATATATATATATAGAGAGAGAGAGAGAGAGATGTTTAAGAAATAACTGAGCGTGTTCAAGATGACGTAAAAGTCATACGACATAAAAACTTCTGACTCGCTCTATTTTCGACGCATGAAATAGAAATTGACAAAAGAAAAGAAATTTGAAAAAACACAAAATTACTGTGAATTTATGCGCGCATATATATATATATATATATATATATATATATATATATATATGTGGGGGGTGCGATGGATAAATTGTCTAAATTAGGCAAAAATAAAAATAACACTGACATCTCACTTTAACAGATATATTTACCAAAATTACACAAAAATATCTTGAAATACGAAAGAGTAAATGTTACTTAATAAAATCATCATTGGCTTCAACCACCGCCTCCAGACGACCTCGAATCTACTGCAAATCTTCCAGAAGGTCTCCATGTTTAAGTTGGTGGATGCTGCCATAATCCTTGCCTTCAGTTCTTCAGTTCATCTTTGGTCTTACAAGGAGTTTTGTTGGTCTCTCGCTGAACTGCACCCCACACATAATAATCATGGAGATTGTGGTCTCGGGAGTTAGATGGCCAGGGGTGATGTGGTTGCAGAAATTGTTTGCTAGACATAGGAGTTCTCAGCAGCCACCCTTTTTACCTAGGGTAGCGCTATTTCCTCAAGGCACTTGATATAGGCATAAGTGTTGAGTTTGAGACCCTGTGGGAAGATGAATGGAAGCATAACGTCACCATCACTCCTGATAACTCCAAACACCTTCGGAATCACCATTAGACACATCCCACACTTTCCTAATCCTCTGCACTTTTCTCAGATTCACACCCAAACACTCTAAAATATTCATATTGAAGCTTCCGGCGCAAATGCCAAGCAGGACAGCATGCCGTTTCCAAATATTTGGCCGAGTGAATGGCGTCACGTTACTTTTTTCTCACAGACGGTGCCCAACTGACCCTACTATACTGTTCAGTCGTCAAAATAAAAACAAATAACGCGCATGCATGAAATTAAAAAAAAATATACGGTGACGACAATTTTCCCATCGCACTATATATATATATATATATATATATATATATATATATATATATATATATATATATAGTGCGATGGGAAAATGTCGTCATACATACATACATACATATATATATATATATATATATATATGTGTGTGTGTGTGTGTATAAAATGTGTATGTATATAAATATAAACATTATATATATATATATATATATATATATATATATATATATATATATATATATGTATGTATGTAAGTATGTATATACGTATGCAATGTTTATATACATATGCAATTTTTATATATATTATTTATATATTATAGATGCGTGGTACTTATTGGAAAGCGCTCAATATCAATGATAGAGCTAACATGTTTAGTTGGATTGATGCGAGTTTGTGACCTTGGGTTTCACGCTCTTCCATTACCATAAAAACCGATATACACAATCATAAATAAACCCAAAGTTTCAAAAAGTAATCAATTTGTCTGACGATCGCAGAGAGCGTGAAACACAGGGTCACAAACTCACATCAATCTAACTATATATATATATATATATATATATATATATATATATATATATATATATATATACGTATGTCTATATCTATATACGTATCATTGGTTGCTCTTATCTATGCGTATGTGTATGTTGAACATTTTTATACATTGTTAATGTTGAATCTACTGTTTAGGCGTACACAGAACTAAACATTAGTTTAACTCTCGTTTCAAAATATGACAAACGTGTATGAATGAATGAATATATCAAAACTTTATTGTATTTTGGGTGTATTAGGGCGTAATATGTAAGTTACACGCGGAAAAGCAGAGAGAAACTAGGCGTTTCTTTTCAAATTTAGCGTAGGCGTAATTCATGTCACGTAGACGATGGCTTTCCACCATTCGGTTAAAAGAAATAGTGTGCAATGTCTACAGCTGTATGTGTATCGCTGCACAAATAAATTGACAGGTTGGAAAAATCGAGAAATTCTCGTTGGTTTAAATTATGGACTACAGGGACGATTGAATGACGAGAAAACAATACAAGTTGATTTAACACACATGCACACTTACTGACCATGGTAAGGATATACGTATACACTTGTATGTAAATATATACATTCTCAAACTTAATGAAAGTTAATAACAATGTGACAAAGAGCGCAGGTTCCTGGCAGGGTTTAAAGGTCACGTTTATGCTTGCTGCTCATTTGTGAAAGTGTGGAACGCTGCAAATAAAAAGCCGCGTCTTTACTCGGAAACAACAAAGCAGCAATTACAGTATATATATATATATATATATATATATATATATATATATATATATATATATATATATATTAATTAAAAAGAAGAGGGTGCCGCAAACGTTTTTGGTTGTAATGTGGATTTATTGAGAAAAAATATTATACTTTGTTTTACATAAATAGAAACAGATCCAAGAGCACATAGAGGTCACTAAAACATTAAAAGATTAAATGCCGATAACTACTCGCTGGACAAACCTTAATTGTTTTATGACCCTTCACGCAGAACTCTTCATTGACAATTCTAGAAAGAAAATTCGGATTGCCAACACACAAACAGAATGTCTCATATCGAGAATATTCCACATTGAACATGAAGAAAAATTAATTATTTTTAATAATATGTAAAAATCTCCACTTTCACCTGAAGACGGTTGCGAGACCAGACCAGAAACACGTGTCGTGAAATTATGTAAAACAAAGTATAATATTTTTTTCTCAATAAATCCACATTACAACCAAAAAACGTTTGCGGCACCCTCTCTTTTTTAATATACATACTTTTTCTCTCGTTGGAACCACTACAACATATTTTTTTATATATATATATATATATATATATATATATATATATATATATATATATATGTGTGTGTGTGTGTGTGTGTGTGTGTGTGTGTGTGTGTGTGTGTGTAATATGCGTCTACATCACTCAGTATATACGTTTGTATGTTTGTATACTCTCTCTCTCTTTTCTCTCTGGTTTTAGGCAGCATCATGTTGAAAGACCGGTTCCCGTACGATCACCGAAGTTAAGCAACGTCGAGTCTGGTCAATATCTAGATGGATGATCGCTTCGGAATACCAGGTGGGGTAAAGTTGGATGTGCGGGTGGTGTAATGGATAATGGCTCGGAATTGTTAATTGGATAGCCAACTTCCAATTCCCTTTGCCTTGGTTATATTCTCTTATGCTCAAATACTCTTTGGAAAAGATATGGACCCGTATCTTGTACCCCAGCGTATTAGTAAGACTTGTATCACTAATCCGTTACTTATATCCCTAAATATTCTTAAAATCTGAAAATATTTCCTGGCTTTGAATAACCTGCAATAAATTGATAAGATAGAGATAAGCTCTCTCTGTGCCTGTCTGTGTCTCTGTCTTTCTGTCTCTCTCTCTCTCTTTCTCTCCGAACACGCCTGTTCTGCTTTGGAAAAAGGCAGCTAACAAGAGACCAAAAAATCATTAGAGTAAGATGGCTGGAATTAGATGAGATGTCAGTATCAACACGCCTTTATTTATTTTATTCTATAAATTATTGTCTGCTAACGTAGTCGTCATGTTCTAATAAAATCTTAGTGACCCCCATCAACTTTATTATTACCTTATTCTCAAATACAGCAAGTCTAATTAAAATCAATTAACACTGTCACCAACATCCCCACACTAACCATCTTAACAAGACATCTCTAGATAAATGCCTTCACCACATATATTCACTTCTCACTCTTTCTTTGATACGACCTTCGATTGTCTGGAATTGGTGAGTAAAACAAAAGTGGTTGTCAGCAAAGGGAATAGACCAACATGCGAATTACAAATTGGAGATGCCAAAATCAAACAAGTACAACAATTTAAATATATGGGAAGTGTTTTAACTGAGGACGGAAATTGCGACACTAAAACACAAAGGCTCATTAGGAGAGTGAAATCTAAACAAAGTATTCAGGAAATAGGCTAATTTACTTTGATTCCGATAGTGACCTCAACATTTTAGAATACACTGATAATGACGTTAATATATTTGGGGTGGGGGATATTACAATAATCCAGAGCTTATACTGGGAGCAAACCTCCTGTATACGAATAGAAAATGAATTCAGTAAATATACAAAAATACAAAAGGGTTTGAGACAAAGATATATCATCTCACCGGAATTATTCAACCTCAGCAGCGAGATGATCCTGAAAGAATTAGAAGTCTTACAAGGATTCATTATTAACGGCCACAATCTTAACAACACAAGATATGCAGATGACACAGTGGTGATAACAGACTTAGAAAGGGAACAACAAGAACTCCTCCAGAAGGTAGTAAAGGAAAGCAAGAAGAAAGGACTAAACATCAATTGCAAAAGGGAACAGACCATCATGCGAATTACAAATTGGAGATGCCAAAATCAAACAAGTACAACATTTAAAATATGTGGGAAGTGTTTTAACTGAGGGCGGAAATATGGCAGTGAATGCTAGACAATCTCTACAAAGCTGAAAAATAGACTTTAAGTAATGTAAAGGTGGTTTTTTACAAAAGGATAGAACGTGTGAGCAACGACGAAGTTTTAGTGAAAATGGAAACAAAAAACAAACTTAAAACCAGAAAGAGACAGTTTATATTTCTAAGGCATGTAATAAGGAAAGAGGGATTGGAAAATCTGATACTCACAGGACAGATTGAAGTCAAGAAGCTTGAGTAAATGGATGGCGGAACAGGGTTTAGGAGAGATAACGAAAAAAGAAAAATTTATTAAGAGCTACAAGAGACCGGAAAATATGGAGAGCCATGATCGGTAACAGATTGAAAAGATATTGCACGAAGAAGAAGAAGAAGAAGAAGAAGAAGAAGAAGAAGAAGAAGAAGAAAAAACATTTCAACGGATCTGACTAACAACCGAAAATATCGATTACTAATCGAAGTCATTTAGGTTTCCGCCACCTCCCTGCACGTACTTCTCCTCCCCTCTTCACTCGTTTCGACAAAACTCTTGTCATGATTGTTACAATGAAAAGAAATGGGGAGACACAGAGTAATTGTCTTGATATAATTTAGTGTGTACATAAACCTTACTCAACAGAGAATAAAAACTGAATATTTTTTTTCAAAAGAATTTCATCTTTTTTTTTTTTTTTTGGCTAAATTCGATTTTCTTTATTGAGTCAGACCATTTTTTGTAGCAAGTTTTGTATTTTCACGAATATGTCCATTTATCTCGGGAAAACGCTTTTTTAGGTAAATCATTTCGTTGATGGGAAATTATAAGGAAAAAAATATATCGGCGAAATAAAACAGCCATCGAGATCATATTTGATGAAATGGCGCATATCATTATCAGCCGTAGAGAAATGTCGAGGAGGCTAATATGAAAACGACTACCAGAATTTGTGATACTACAAATTAAAGATTCCGCAAAAGGAAATCGTATAACTGGGTGATTGATTTTTTTAACTGATTATTTGCTATTAAAAATATTAAAGTCTTGCAATGATTCTTCGTCTCTGAGAATCGTAACTCAACATAAACTTCCTTCTATCTTAATTTATACCGAAATATTTTTAAGTCTAAAGTGTAAATTAGGACGTCACTTATTTAAATATTTATTTAGTTTCTCTCTTAAAATATAGCATCAATAAAAACATAATTTGATCATTTACGGCAGTTCTTAACCGGGGGTATCCATACCCCTTGTGGGTATAGGAACCAAATGCTGGGGGTATGGGACTCGATTTCTGGGTACTGGTAGTCTCCCCGTGTTATGTTTGACAGTATTTCATTTTGAACCGGATTCTCTGTATTATTAAATCTGAAATCAAAGTGGAGAAATCAACTTGATGTGTCAGATGATTGTACGAGTAGATTTGTCAGTAACTGTACCACGATTCCATGCTTTGATTGCACAAAAACAACAGCAAGTATCTCACTAGATTAGTAAAAATCTGTTTTATGTGGTCGAGATGCTAAAAAAGCTTGCACATTTATGTTCTCTTACTTTTTCTTGTGTAATAATATTCTTGTAATTATAACATTATTTTGCTTTCAGTAAAAAAAAATATAATAAAGTTATCAATGCTTCTGTTTGTTTTTTTGCTTTTTTCCTGTTCTATTCGTAGCAATCCATATCTAAAGTACAGTAAATTCAAGCGACTGAAATATTTGGAAGACATACTGGCAAATAATAGGATTGGTGATAATTATTTCGACAGTCAAGTGAAGTGGGTATGGGACCATATTGGACAATCCATTGGGGGTCTGGAATCATCGAAAGATAAAGAACCCCTGATTTACGGTAGAGTAATATGTTCACTGCTTCACAGATTTAACATTTTCCTGGCTGGACTTTCTTTCAGCCGCTAAAAAAAAGAATAGAGGGTTTTGAAAATGGGTGTTCTTAGGTCACAAGTCAGTGACGAGTCTGCGAGAGATTTTTCATTCACATCATAGCAGCAATTAGCCTTGTGTTCACGGAGATAAAAGCATACTTGACAGGATATAAAACGTACACAAATAACAGAAAAGGCATTGTAAATTGTATCCTAATTTCATACAATTTATTTATATTATTTTGTGCGTATTTTTTTAGGTTACAATTGCTTTATGGTACATGTGATAAAAGGGAGAAATTACTCCGTGTTATTATCAGCCATATCGCAGAGAGAAGATGTATACGTGTTGCCCGTAACAAAGTTCGTGGCGAAGAGATTGAATTTAATGTCTTTTGGCGGGCTGCCCTTATTTCCAACAGGAACAGTTTTTGTTGCATTATGGGAGTATTTTTTTTTTTTATTATTCTTAATTTTTATTTAATCTCTTTTATACAACGTTTTTATGTTTTTGTTTTATTTTATTTTATTTACAATTTTCATTATTATTATTATTATTATTATTATTATTATTATTATTATTATATAGTAGTAGTAATAGTATTTCATATTTTAGTTTTATTTATTTATAACAATAATAATATTCCTACAGATTAAAGGAGTAAGGCTTAAACATTTTTTTATAAACTATTGGAATTTTAAAGGTATCAGAATAAGTCTGCCGAACTCATTAATCGATTCTTCAGGGCTTCCGCCGACTTAAACGCCGTTGTTTAAATCATTTTAATTCTCTAGAGTTTTTCTAATCTTCTTGCGGTCATTGTTGGAACTGTTTCAAAAGCCCCAATGATTTGTGGAGTTCTCTCACATCATAGCAGCAGAAATTAGCCTCATGTTCACGGAGATAAAAGCACATTTCACAGAAAATAAAACGTGCAGAAATAACAGAAAAAGCATGGTAAATTATGTTAATTTCATATAATTTATTATATTTTTTGCGTCCTGTATTTTTAGGCTACAATTGTTTTATGGTACATGTGATAAAAGGGAGAAATTACTCCGTGTTATTAAAAGCCACATCACGGAGAGAAATTGGATACGTGTTGTCTGTAACAAGGTTCGTGACGAAGAGATTGAATTTAATGTCTTTTGGCGGTATGTCCGTATTTCTGACAGGAATATATTTTGTTGCTTCCTGGGAGTATTTTTATAATTTTAAAATTTTGTTTAATTTATTTTATACAACATTTTATCTTATTGTTTTATTTTATTTATAATTTTCATTATTATTATTATTATTATCATTATTATTTTATATTTTATTCCTATTTATTTATTTATAATAATAATAATTATTATAATAATAATAATATTCCTACAAGTCTCTCTCCTCCGGCATCTGCGAATGCTCTGTTTCACCGTTTAAACAGGGATCTGCTGATTTGCTGTTAAGGATCACATGGGCGACTAAGCTCGATGCATTTTAATTAGGAAAGAAGAAAGAAAGTTATACTGACAAAAGGACAAAGGAATGAAAGAAAAAAAAAGAAAAGAAAATGATGAAAAGAAACAAGAAACATAAAAAATAATGTAAGGAGAAAGAAAAGAAAGAGACAAACAAAAGAATAAAAGTTGAACATAAATGAAAAGGTTGAAGCGTTCATAAAAAATTGCATAAATAAAAAAAATAATTCCACTGTTACTGTGTCGTGTCCATAAAAATAAATAAATAAAAATTAATTATAGTTTCAAAAATGATTATAATAAAATA